AAGCCCATTAACTGAATCTTGGAATCGCTTGAACTCGATCTTTTCAAATGAACCAGTCATAGTATGAATCCAATGAACGGCGCGTAACTGACTCATTATTTACTCAGGTGGAAAAAAGGCAAACCAAGCGTTCTGGCTGTTCCGCAATATTCCATTCAAATTTTGCCAAACAAATCTACAAAGGTGCATCGTTGAGTAATGCTACCATTCTTATGATGGAGAAAGAGGAAGGAGAGACGTATTAGGCGACAAGCCGGTTTTTACTCTAATTACCTTATGTACACTGGAAGCAAAAATGTTAATTGTTGCATAAGGGCATGGCTACATAGACAAATGAAATGCGAACAATTGAAATCGACGCTAGAAAACGAGCACCTAAAATGATAATCATCATCAATGAACGTGATGGCAGGCCTTCGATTAGTTTTGAAACTAGTCTATTTGAAACAACGTTTAAGCTACTCGATCTGTGTGTGATTCATCTTGCAGAGGATGTCCACTCCTAACCTTCTTGCATCCAATCTTTTATCCGTATAACCCATGCTGTATACGGATCGAAAAATTACTGAGAGATTTCAAGTCAATACTGAATAAAATGTTCTTAAATACTAATATCGTTCAACTGAAAATATGTGCCATTGTTACTGATGCACTCATCACTGTAAAACTTCTGTGATTTCTTGGGGGAAGATTAAGGCGAACATTTTTCGTCCCTCCATTTAAACTAAATTGACACTCTGAAAGGGGTTCAAGAATGAGAGCAGGTGGTACAAGATCTAGGCTAAATATCCTATTCAATTTTTATGCTAGCTAAAGACGTACATGGTTTACGTTGTTATAATGGAAGACGACGCCCCCTCTATTTCGGCCGATTTGTTTCAGCGTCCTATTGTATTTTCATCAGTTGTTATTAACAGCGACCGGTGCGAAACATTCGCTTTTGCCAAACGACAGTAACAATTCATAATGTACGAGCCCTGTCGAGTCCCCCCAAACAGATCACCAGAGACCAATTTTATCTTAGTTATTACTTTCGTATGTGACCTTTTCGCTATTTGCGCCCAATTGCATTGGAGATCGCTTGATTGAGTTTTGCAGATGAGAATACGACTTCTTCTTCTTCTTGTCGCCAGCTTTCTTCAAATAATTCTAAACATTTGATGCTAAATATCTAGTTTCTTGGTCATTTCACGGCTACTCGTTTGTCGCGTCAAAACTCGTTTGTAACTCGTTGGGAGAACGAGGAGCACGTTTCACATGGAAGTGCTCGGAATCAAAGCGACGGCACGATTCCTAGGCTGTTCCTTCCATAGCACGTGTCGAACATAAATAACACACATTTTTTATGAGCCTGTGGCGTCGTAATAAAACTGCAGAAATCCCACTAATCTTCGGGGCGCTCTACCCTAACCTTGAAGAAAGGCAATCCAGCAACTTCAGTTGGTCTACTACTACGGTCGAAACCCAACTTCCGAACGACACTATCGCCAATGTGGCCCGACATAGCTGATAAATGTAAGCATATACTAACTAGCTAGAAAAACGTTTGCGCAACCCGATGTACGTGTATATCCGCCTCTTGGCTCGTTTCCTGCTTCGTCAATCACAAGGCACTTCGTATCGTTGGCCCGTGATATCGATGACACGTATACGTAGTTAATGTAATAATAATATTATGATTATTCAGTCGTAGTTAGGATCAAGGAACTTATTTTCTATAAATGCACTTCCTTGAAGAAGGTAAACGAAATAGCGTTCTATTAGATAATGTCTAGATGAGACAACATAAATTAAGATAGCGATTTATATCGACGTCATTATCAACATCGTAAATGTTACGTTGGTGCAATATTGAATGCAAACAATGTGTTTAACAAGCCATTCCGTCGTCGTCGTCGTCGTCGTCTCCCACACAGCCCTTGAACAGTAATACCAATAATAAAATAATCACGGGAGCGTCGCTATATTCTCGTTTTGCCCTCGAAGCTGATTATCGTACTGCACGTACCGCAGGACAGGATCCGCGGATGTTTATCTTTTAGTCAACAACATAAGGACAATCCCATAAAAAGAATTGGCTAACTGACCAGGTCCGCAGGTTTGAGTTAGCCGTACGTTGACACGGCGCAATGCTAAGATGCACATAGATTTTCACAATGTGCTTAACCGACCGGGACACTTTATCAGTGAGAACGATTGGTGTGATTCTACTCGCGATCGATGTGCCCGGAACAAATCCCTTCACGCAAGCATGTCTACGCGAACAAACGGGCTTTTTAGTTTGCATGAATTGCATGTGTATATGTTTCATCAAAAACGGGTGCGAGTATTACGCCCTTATAGCCTGTGTGCGAGGTCAAGTAGCAGGACCGGTCTGCTCTTCACAAACAAGCCAGCAACCTCTGAAAATGATATGCGATTGCGGTCCAAACAGTGTTACTATATGTATCAAACTCCCACTGCTGATGTGCCATTCCAGTATAAAAAGAGAGGTATCTGGTAGTTCTTATACGATCATATTGAAGCCATTATACACATGTACAGCCATGTATACATACGAATTGACGGCAGCATGAAAGAACTGAAACAAACAAATAATATGCTATAATAAAGTACAAAACTTATCGAGATATTGATACACGTCGAGGAGGAAATACGTAGAGTTTTTTTTTGATTTTCAGACCGTACCTCGAATCCTATGTACAACGAGACCACTTTAATTCAGTGTTGACACAAATATATGTAATGAGCAACTGGCTTGTAGAGATGGGCTGGTCTGGCCAGAATCGGATCGTTATTATGGGTGACAAATGTATTCTGTCTGCATTTCATTGTAACTATATGTCGAGATGTATCTAGGCAATTGCCATTTGCTGGGGGTTACTCATTTGTCGCTCTAACGATTATGTGGGAATCAGATATACAGGCACACTATAATTTATGCTAAAGTGCCATCGAGTTCATCGTTGCGAGCAGATCAACGAAATCGGCGGGCACTTGAGCAACTGATTCAGCACTTTCTGCGAACTCCTCCACGATAGTTCAAATCTTCAGGGCTGCGGAAGACCAAAACACGTCTCTGGTACGTTCGAGGTAAACTCCTTTTAATGAAATTTGTCGCTTCTGAGTTTCTATAATTCAATAAGAAAATATAATCTAAAATAGATATTTCAATTGCGGAAATAAAAACGCCGAAGAAAGGCCAGACGCGATCAACGTTTCAGTACTCAAGTAGTTGACGCTCTGAGCTTTGAACACGCCAACATTGTGACGGTTGCTATCGAGCCAATGTGTAACAAATCAGCCCAATTTCTGACGATTTAGCGGTGTCTGCCTTTATTTTCTTAATGTAAAAGTTAACTTGTGCACTTTTCAAGTCTCAGCAGGAACAAAGATGGCCTCCATAGGGTCAGTATATTAAGATCAAAATAATGCCTCGATAAGGTAATGCCTGAGGCGCTCCAAATATTAAGACCATTCTACTAAGACATCAGATCACTTGTAAAATAGAATGCAACACGGTTGTATGGCAATAAAATGGGAACAGAATAGACGGAAGGGCGCATTACTAATGTTTCGAGTCGACTGCCAGTCGTTGCTAAACATACCCAGTTTCATTCAGTTGAGTAGCTGGATGACCATGGATTAAGTATAATTCTAAATTTTTATTCAGTATGGATATTATTGCTTGACCGTGCCGGCGTGTACAAGTTACACTCATTTCATTCGTCAATTAAATATAAACACCCATATCTCAGTTAGCACTCATATAATTTTTCGCGTATAGCCTAAAAAGTTGCTGTATTCGAAGAGAGAGGATGTCACAATTACGTTAGTTTCCCGTATACTTACTGTTCAAGTAAGGTACTAAAGACAAACAGCTCCAAACTACTTCAGAGGCAAATTTTAGTTAAATTGGCACTTGCTACATAAAATTGAGCATATTAAGCTTATTAGGCGATAATGTAACGTGAACTTGACAACAAACACAAAGGTTGCAGACGTACCTTGCCTGAGATTCTGACCCTTCCGCGTTTCGATGGTAAGAGCCGCCACTGCTAGCTAACAAAACGAAGAGTCTCAGATACGGCATGTGATTCGTTCGATCCGAACCATTTGAGCAAGAAATACACAAACCTAGCTAAAGCCATAAGACAGTGATGAAATTTCACGCTCACATCGGGTCTCCAGTAAACACTATCTATTGGTATGATGGAATTAATACCCATATATATATGCATTTATAGGCTCTTCACTGATTACACGCTTAGGTTCGTAAGATCCAGTCAATTTACAATCGTAAATTGAGACGAATGTCTTAAAAAACAGCTTTCAGCCGACAGGAAGTCCAATGACTTTGTGTTTTTGATCTTTCGTAACTAAGCGTAGTGTCAGTTGTGACATGGATCATAGTTACATTTTATTGGTTAACGGTATTTTCTGTTGCATAAATACCATCAATAAAAACAGGTATTTAAAGTACATCGCAACCGCTAAATGTTCCGCTAAACATCCACCTGTCCTTCTGTCAATCCATAGTGTGGTGTCGGTAAATAGATAAATGATCACCTCGCCTGTAAATGGTATACATCGCATCTAATATATCGCCATTATATGGAAGCTTTTAGGTTTTTTGTTTTATCTCTTCCGAGAAAAAGATATCAAAATGTCAATAGTATTAAGTTACTGTATAGACAGTTGCGTCTGAAATGTTTTAAGGTAGAGACATATATATACACAAGCTATCCAAGAGAGTGAACCTACAACTTTTCTATATTTGCACTACTTTGAAGATGGCCAGCGTATAGGTGGCACGCACTCGGCCAGAACGAACTCGGGAGATTCCTCGGCTAATTCAAATTTATGTCAGTCCATATGTGGCTGCGGTGACCTTGTCGCACAAGCGTGTCACTATGCGAATTCAATTTCAACATACTCTGCTAGGTAGAGCCTCCTTAGGCTAAAATAAAACCTGAATGTCAAATTTTAGAACAACTCACGAGTAGACGAGATTTTTCCCGCTTTTAAGCGAAGCCGACTGCCAGCCTTTGCCGTCTTCAGCTTTCAGTTTCACCAGACAACACAATACGGTCCGATAATACTTTGTCAGAATCGCACAGAAACTGTTTCGTCTTCACTGAGATTCTTCTTTATTAGTCGTTCACCCTCTGGCACCAACACTTTTGCACACCTTAATAATGTAATAGTCGTTCATTAATTAGCAGTTAGTGAATAAGGAGATTAGTCACCTTTACTTTGTTCTTAATAACAATGTCAACTCTTTCTGCTAAAAATTTCGATAATGCAGTTACCAGTGTTGTTGAGTAAAATAAGTTTAGTCTGTTCTGCAGGAGCGAAGAAAGGCGGGAAGGGATTAGGCAAGACTAGTAGCAAGTAATTACTGTGTTCAATGTGATTCACTCAAATTTCTGCGTACGCTGTTTCCGTTCGGCCCCTTGCAGCAAAGCTGAGTGCCGTACGCTTCTACTGCAACTCGCTTTGTTTTGCCGTCCTTTGCATAAAACTGCCTGTCGTCGCTGTCTTCCTCACCAAGTGTGCGCTCCAAGCAAACTTGCTTATAGCTACTTGATACGAGCGTCCCAAACAGCGTGTGGCCTGCCTCAAAGTGTTGCAGCAGCTTTTATGCCCCTTGTGAGAGAGGGTGGCACCCGGAGGCGGGAGTCGAGAAGTCGGTGCCGTGTTAGGGGGCATTTGGAGCATCTGACGGGATACTGGAGGGAGGAAGGGAGGACTCCGCTACTACCATCATTACGACCATGGCTTATGCTGGTCCTGTGGTCGGTTGAGGTCTGTCTATTGGCACTCCTTCTGTTAGATGGCTGGCTGGCTAGCTAGCTAGCTAGCTGACTGCTGCACAAAGCAGTAATGTTTGGGGGGTGAGAACGTAGCCAGCGAGGCCATGATGATCTCGGCCGCAAACTGACGCCGGCCTTCCCACCCGTCCCAGCCGTAACAATTGGTTTCGCCCGCTTCGTTTGCTGAGGTTTCAAGTTCTGCTATCAACGAGCAAAGAGGGATAAGGTTAGCTTTTTGAACTGAGGTCAGCAACTTGGCTTGAGCTTCTTTTGACGTCGATTTGTCAGGGTCATACGCGCGCAACAGGTCCTTCCGTCACATCGACGAAGAAAAAGACCCCTTATATATGACCATGCTGTCGGAACCACCATAACCAGCTAAGGCGATCTAGATACTGGGATAATTTCTATTATACACTGGCAATTGGCTAATCATGTGAACGTGCGTATCTGTATTCTCAGAAAATCATCTTGGCTTGACGTAATAAAGCGATATGCTTATTTTTTATGTAAATATGTCTATGCGCATTTTGTTGAGCATATGTGGGTAGCATTTTTCTAGATAACGAGTTATTAAGTTTTCAAGTTACAATCTTTACAAGCGCTTAAAGTGAGTTTCCGTTGAAGATGGGATATGAAAAATCTTTTTTGGCTTTCGTTGCCAAATAGCGCGTTGAGACTGCTAGTGAAACAATAACAGTCACATTTTGAACTAATATAATAACAAAGTAAATTTTTCGGAATATCACGAAAGGTGTAAAAGGAAACATTCCACAATATCAGCTTTTTATTCTGTTTGAGAACCTCAAATATAACTGTTACAGGCCTGTGTGTACTAAACCGTAGTTACATACACTGGTGGATTTTGATTGTTCGTTCTTGAAAAGAGTCTCTCTCTTGAGCACTTCATTAGCTTACTTTGACTTGAAAAACCTGCTGTGTTCTTCGAACAGCTCAATACATTATGTGGCCCTCAAGGAAAGGTGTCGGTTGTAAGTCTTTTTTCATAACTACTCAATAAACAGACCTGCTCTGGTAAAGGCTGACATTATAATAAAAAATAGCACTACTTGAACATGGTTGGGGCTTCTTAATCTCTATACGTTTAAATTGAAACTGGTTAGTACTTGTAAAATAATAACATTTTGCACAACACCAATTTTTATTTGTCGACATTCACACACACACCTATATATATATATATATTTATATATATATATATATATATATATGTTGCGTCTAAGGAAAAATAAACAAGGAAAATGCTATAGATTAAAGTGAACTTGTTTCCTGTTACTGGAATAAGATTTAGAAACATATGATCGGAAATTGTGTGTGATACATTATCTTATGGCAGGTCTTGTAAACAAAAACCTCAAAAAGCAAATAGACACTAAACTTAGAAACAGGTGTAAATGCCAAGCATAACTAATAATAATGGTTCGCTTTTGGTACCTTTTGATCTTGTTCTTGGCTAGGCCAAAGAACAGTGTGCTTGCATATACGTATAGAAACCTAGGACATCTGTGCATGGAGAAATCTTAATAGGCTCGTAATAGACAGACACATTGCTATAATATATCTTTGCGATGCGCAGTGGCATCGTACTTGTCCGCTAATCTCAACAACACGTGAAATCACTATGATGTGGGATCATAGTAATTTTTAGGTTTAAATGAACGAACTGGATAAATGATACTGGGTTACGGTACAAGGCATATGGGCATGTCAGATTTTTATCTTAAAGTAAATACTGTGATATAGGTAGCGCCTACCTGGCTTTCACTTACAAAAATTAAGTGTAGGCCTAGTTATTTGACCGTGCTCGAGGCGATGTGGTGAAGCAGTTAAATGAAAGCTGGAATTAGACATGGCCAGGTACAGACTCTATAAAGAACTAGCCTAAGTTTTCATTTTTGTGAAAGTGCTAATTAAAAGCGCAGTACAAGTTATTATAAGCATCACCACCGTAATCATCACTGTATCCGCGATAGCAACTTCGGCTGGAAGGCCTTATAGCTTGTCTGGAAACATTGTCAGAACTGTGGCTGGATGTTTACAAAAAATTTACAAAAAAATATCTCCTAAGTTAGGATATCTGTAAAAACCGTTTTTTTACTAACATATGCACGTACATATAGATAATCTGTTCTTATTTAGTGATGGAATCTTTTAGCTGTATTTTCGAGCAGGCGAGCATTACAAGACTAACTTATAGAAAGTAACTTTGTAATGGTATAATAATTTTTCTTCCACCTCTGACTATCGTTTCCACGTGTTGGTCCATCACATTTATCTCACTTTATTTGGCAATGAGACCAGCGTTGCCTCTGAACGGTCGGTGGGGTGATATAGTATTTGAAGGGTGTCTCTCGGCAGTTTTGTCTGTGTCCCTATTTACGATGTGTACATAATGGAGATTAATGCTACAGTATATGTAATTATATTTTAATACGGCACAAAAATCCGTTGGGCGCATAAGGGTGTCAGTACACAGACTTTAGAGTTCGAAGATCTTTCCCGTACTATTTGGCTTATCGGCTACACAGTGTTCTGTATGATCATTAGATTTAATTATCTTTTAAGTTAATAATAACTTAACCTTTTAACGTTACGATTATGTGTTTTTATCGTAATTCTGAACTGCTGGTGGTTTAACATACCTAAATGACGGAAATTAATCGGACTGAGTAAAATATTATGTCCTATAATGACCATACCAGTATAGTTATTCTAAAATCGGCGATTCACCCTCCAGGGGGTGAAGCTTCGACTTGTCTCTACGCAAGATGCTGTAACTGATAGTCGAAGATTAATTAAGAATTATTCATTTATAATTACTTATAACCAGAGAAGAGGCTCCGGTTGACACTACAATGTAGCAAATCATATAAGTCTAATTCTACAGGTTGAATAGAGGAGGATACTCGAGAAAGATCAGCGAGGTCACTGTTAACCCAATACCGGGTAGGGGGTTAGAATGATTTTCCTAGTTTTCAATCCCTGCTTGTTATTCGTATGCCAGAATAGGCATTTAAGGTAGTAGAATGTTATTTTGTTAAAAGGCCACAGTGCGTAAAATAGTTTGTAAGATAGTTGGAACGAAGGAGAAACAAGATATATGAAAAAGATAGTAGAATAAAAACAAGAAACTTTGAACTGAAGCCAGCTGTTTTTGGCCAGCAATACATGGGGTTTGAGGAAACTGAGAAATACTGCTACCGAAAAACAGGCAATAATAATAATAATACGACTCGAATTAAAAAGTAATAAACAGCTATAACACGAATACGCACATTAAAGACGTTATAGCAAAAAATTGACCCTACAGGCCACAATGCCGCGGTAAAAAAGTCAACAGCTTGAACACGAAGGCACGCGATTGTCTGCGACGGAGATTATCGATGATCGGCCTTATTCATAAACTATTCTTAAGGAAGAACAGGCAATGAAAATTCGATTGAAGTTGAAATCTTGCAAATTGTTCGCTACTGTGACACGTGTTGAATGAGCACCGACGATCCTGTAATTTTCATCAGAAGAGACGCTTTGGTTTTTTAGCGGTGCAGGCATAATCCTCACATTCATCTACATTCTACAGCTGTACGTTCACTCAAAAAATGACGAAATAATGAGTTCTTAACGAGGAGGACAACGTCAGTAGTCGGCACTATATGGAGTACGAAATGTAAGCTAAAATGATGACGGGACAAGAGGATTGAAGCTCTCAACTCAAGCAAGCAACTGAGCAAGCAACTCAAGAACGAAGTGACTATGCACTCAAAAAAAAGACTTTTAAAAATGTGTTAAGGGACTTGGCAACCAGAAAGCGCTTCAGCTTTTCAAATTATTCCGACAGCGGATCGTGTGGAGCCCCTTTATCCCAGAAGGTGACCACATGGTGGGCCTCGACACTGGTGGAATCAATTTAGCTCGGCAAGGATGCACCAGGATACGTTGAAGGATGCGTGAAAGTCACAGAAAGGTTATTACGAAAATTTGGTTGCTCTACTAGCATAATTCAAAATGCGCCACGCTGTGCTGAAGACAGGAGTAATAAGACGTGTTGGAAACGGTTTCTACACGACCGATAAAAACCTATGGGATCGCGTATGCAAAATTGGCTGTGGGAAGATTAAGACTATAAGCAAATTTGGCCTCTTAGGTGAAGGCAAAATGGTAGAATAATCAAGAAACCGTTCCCTTGTCACTAAACTCCCAATATATCGAGCACCGCCTGAAGACATTCCTTCCATATCGGTACACGAAATTACAGCAAGAGGGGAAGAATATGGTCAGAAAAGGCGTCGAAACCTGGTGATCTCCCAGTGATGGCAGTAATACATTTTTTAGGGAATTTTGCTGGTTAGCATCTGAAGATGCTATGATGATTTTGAGAAAGGGGTATTTCGTCAAGATCGACAAAAGTCGAATGAGTACTGACTCTGAAAGGAGGATCCTCTTACAGATTTTTCTATCTTCTGAAACTCTGGTTAAAGTTATGCTATCCGTCATAAAAAAGCGAGTGTAAGAAATTGCTGTCTAGTATGATCTTACGTTACCTGCCCAGTACGATCACTGAAAGCACCGCTTGGTGCAAACAGCAATAAATCCAATTTTAAAGGCAGGGGCTTTAAATCTTCTTGCTTGTTTCTGCAGCTTGTTTCTGCAGCTTGTTTCTGGTTATTCTACTTTAGGCCAAAATATTTGTAATAGAGGCCCGCTAAAAAGACCAAGTTGAAGTCGCTCAAAAGAAAGAGGATTTATTCGTAAT